CCTCTGCTATGAAGACAGGCTGAGAGAGTTGGGGCTGTTCAGCCTGGAGAAGAGAAGGCTCCGGGGTGATCTTATTGCAGCCTCCCAGTGCCTAAAGGGGCTACAGGAAAGCTGGAGAGGGGCTTTGGACAAGGGGTGTAGCGATAGGACAAGGGGCAATGGCTTTAAACTGAAAGAGGGGAGATTTACATTGGATTTAAGGAAGAAATTCTTCTCTCTGAGGGTGGTGAGGCACTGGACCGGGTTGCCCAGAGAAGTTGTGGCTGCCCCATCCCTGGCAGTGTTCAAGGCCAGGTTGGATGAGGCTTTGAGCAACCTGGTGTAGTGGAGGGTGTCCCTGCCCATGGCAGGGGGGTTGGAACTGGCTGATCTTTGAGGTCCCTTCCGACCCAAACCATTCCATGGTTCTATGATCCTGGTTAGTGAAGGAGGACCACGGGTGGCTTGTCCTTCAGTGACCATGTCGAGATGAGCATCCATCCCTTCCATCCAGTGAAGGAAGGACCAAGCAGTAACAAGCCATCAAAAATCCAGCTGAGCAGTGGCTGCCTCAGTGAGCTCCATCCGGGCTCTTTCAGACTTTATTACAGGAGAGCTCGATTTTCTGTGCTAAATTTGTGGTTTAGAGTTAAAATGAGTCATGTTCAAGTGAAAACGTGTGGGGAAAACACACGTATGTGCCAAAACTGAGAGCCAAAGAGGACAGCGTGCTGTGCTCCGCGGTAACCTTCTTCCCCAAGATGATGTTGCAGGCTCATTAACTTTTCTTTTACAGGGACTCAAACCAGGAAAGAAAAGTGAGGTTATTCTAAGCCTGAACATCACCAAAGTACTTGGAAACCATTCCTCCTCAGCAAGGAAGACCAGGTGAGTGTCTTTGCTAAGCCTGGTGTGATTTATCCTGTGCTAAATCCTGTGCTGGTCGGATTTCATCCCGTTTTTTTTTTCCAAAAGTAGATGTTATCACCTGGCTGTCAGGAGAATGCATCTCCTCTGTGCAGCACTAAGTCGGCCAGGTTGCTGACTTGGTTGCTCCAGCAAGGTGAGATGGAGCACGCAGAATTCCAGGTTGGAGAAATGTGGAGCGTTAAGCAGCCTTTAATGTTTTGCTCCCTGCAGAGGAAGGACCACGCCTGGTGCATGTGTTGTCCTTCCAGTGCACGTGCTCATCCCTCTCAATAATCTTATTCTGGATTCCTGTGTTAATTTCTTAAACCTGGTGTCATCTAAACTCTGCTTGATTGATGGTGGTTCCTTAGCAGCTTCTGCTGAACTCCAAGCTCTGGATATATACAAAATCACGGAGTTTCTGTCCCTTGGAATTCGTGTAGAATTCTCTAAGAAACCTGAAGGTACTGAGCAGCCCCGATAGACTCGGGAGGGGGAACCTGGGCACCTAGTTCTTGTTCTCACCATTTCTCTTGCTGAAATAACCCCAAGTACCCAGTTTTGAGACTCAGCAGCTTTTCAGCATTTCTCTCCCAGTTTCTGCAGCCAGTTTATGGAAGCAGGAGATGATACAAGCCTTTGTAATGTGAATGCTGAGTATGCCATTTATGGCAATAAGGAGAAAACCAGTGCATCTAGCTCAAGTTCACAGCTCCAGCCCCAGCACTGCTGGGGGAAGCTGACTCCACAGTCTCACTTATCCCGATTTTACACTGGGTTTTGGGGCTTCCGTTGCTACTAATGCCAGATTTGTACAAAATTCTTTAATCCTTCTGTCTCTCCCTGTCTTTCCTAAGGGAGCAGCCCCCTGGTCAGTGACGTGGAAGGGTTGTAACCGTCAGGCAAACTGCACTTGCTGAAGCACTGTGCGCTTCTGGGTTGTGTTCTGGGGCTTAGGGGTGGGGAGGAGAACTGGGAAGCAGTGCGGAGCAGGACAGTGCTCAGCGAACCCCAGCGGTGTGTCAGCTCCCTCCTCCCCGCTGGGAACTAGCTGCAAGAGAGTGAATTTCACCTGATTTCAACCCAAAGGCTGCCCAGTGAGTTGACTTTGATGTGCGAGCAGAGGTGTACTAGAGAGCGGTGACGAGGGCTGTAGGAGAAGTGAACTCCATTCCTTCGGGCTGAATAACGTGTCCGTTCTGTTCCGTGAGTCAAGCTGTAAATAGTAATTGGTCTTAAACGAGTCCGTGATGTGAACACTTTACAACTCTGCCCCTCCAGACTCCTCCACTGGTGCAGGTTCACCAGGGAGCAGCACCACGTGCCATGGTCACACTGTCCGTGCCTCCGTGTCCCTTCGCTCCCTTCTTATCTCGGAGATCAGGGAATGGATTGAGAGCAGCCCTGAGGAGAAGGACTTGGGAGTGCCGGTGGATGGGAAGCTCACCAGGAGCCGGCACCGTGCGCTGGCAGCCCAGAAAGCCAACCGTGTCCTGGGCTGCATCCAGAGCAGCGTGGGCAGCAGGGCGAGGGAGGGGATTCTGCCCCTCTGCTCTGCTCTCCTGAGACCCCCCTGCAGTGCTGCCTTCAGCTCTGGGGTCCCCAAGAACAGAAGGACATGGAGCTGTTGGAGCAGGTCCAGAGGAGGCCACGGAGATGCTCCGAAGGCTGGAGCACCTCTGCTATGGAGACAGGCTGGGAGAGTTGGGGCTGTTCAGGCTGGAGAAGAGAAGGCTCCGGGGTGATCTTATAGCAGCCTCCCAGTGCCTAAAGGGGCTACAGGAAAGCTGGAGGGGGG